GTGATAACAGGAGAGTCGGGGGTGGGTAGAGGCCTGAACCCCTCATGGTGGGAACTTCAGGGGACCCCATGGGGAGGCTGGGGTCCATCTGGGCGGAGTCAGGCAGGGACCCTGGCCCCCAGCCCAGGCTGCTCCTCCCGGGTGGGCTAAGGCGGGTGGACCTGACCAGACCAGGGTGGTCAGGGCACAGGGGACAGACGTGAAGGCAGAGATGTCCCGGGACACGGGGCCTCTCCCTTCCAGCCCCAGGCGGGCGTCAGGCCCCCACCAGCTCCAGCCTCACCCCTCCCTGGGTCCCCTCCCTCCCGCCTCCACCTGTTCCAATCACATTAGTGGAGTGACAGCCCCAGCGAGTCCTTGCGGCGGCTCCATAAATCTCAGCCGGCGCTAAAAGGCTGGACTCCGGGCCCACTTCCTCCCGCGCCCCGGCTCACCCCATCCATCTTGCGTCAGTCCGGCCGCACTGGGGCTGCTGTGGCCTCCTCTCACCCTCAGTGACTCAGGAAGGGGAGTTAGAGGGACCCCAAGGTGCCTCCCTCCTTAGTCTGGCCAGAGCAGGTGCCCTTTGACCTCCCAGAGCGAGGTCACCAGGCCATCTATGAGCCACACCCTGCCGGGCCTGAAACCTCAGTGGCTCCCCCTGCCCTCGACGGCCTGTAAGGCCATCCCTGCCTTCACTGCAGGTCATTCGTTCGCTCAGACCATTTACTGAGCCCCTGCTCTGTGGGCAGAGCCGCTCCGGGCGCGGGAGATAGTGGTGCCCTCGGAGCTTCTGGTCTCGGGCAGACAGACAATAAACAATGAGCACAATAAACAGGGAGCTTGTCTGGCAGGTGAGGGAGAGGTGCCCCAAGGAGAAGAAAACCTAGAGCAGTTGAGGGGCCGGGGAGGCAGGGCAGGGCAGGGCAGGCAGCTGCAATTTCACTTACGGGTGAGGGCGGCCCGGGAGAAGTGGCGTGTGAGGCGTGTAAGAGGGGAAGGGGGCGGCCGCGTGGCTATATGAGGAGGAGCATTCTGGGCAGAGGGCTCAGCCAGTGCAAAGGCCCTGGGGCAGGAGCGGGCCAGCCAGTTCCAGGAAGGATGGCCGGCGTGGCAGGCGCTGAGTGGGGAAGGGCCGGGCCGGGCGGTGGGGAGTCTGGGCGGTGTCTGGGGAGCTGGGGACCATGGCTCTGAGGGCGGGGAGAGCCCTGGCAGAGTGCTGAGCAGAAGAGGGGTGTGGCCTGACGTAGGATTTAGAAGGCCCACACCTTTTTGAGGTCCTTGTCTTTGGACACGGAATGGCTAAAACTCCAGCCCCTCGTGGGGTCTCCCGCCCCCACCTCCTCCCGGCTGGGCTCTGGTGTCCCATCTTCCGAGCTTCCCCCAACCCCCATGCTCTCCCTCACTCAGGACCCCCTTCCCACTGCTCTCCCCCAGCTCTCTCCTACCATAGGCCACCCCCCCCCCACCCCCCGGCCACCCTGTGTAATGGTGGGTGCTCTCGTCTGGACTGTGAGCTCTGGGAGGGCAGGGACCAGGCCCCTCTGGTGCCCAGTGGAGCTGTCCTGGCACCCAGGTCAGGGCCTGGCACACAGTAGGCGCTCAGCTCAGTCATTGGGTGATGGGTGAACAGACGGGGAGGGGTGGCTGTGGGCAGAGCAGGGCCTCAGGGTCCACCAAAAGGACCGGCTTCGGAAGAGGGTCCCAGGGGGCCTGTCGCACCCCCGCCTCCAGCAAAGCCCCTCATTCTGTGAGGCCTCCAGGGGAGCAGTGACCGCCACGGGGACAGCGGGAGGAGAAGGGGGGGGGAAACATCCGCCACAAACAGCCCCGCATCCTGGCTGGGCACCCACAGCTCTTAGCGCTGCTCTTATTCATCCCGACCTTCGCTGCCCCTTTTATTTCCCCCCTTTTAAAACCTGGCCTGGGCCCCGCCACCACTGCCGTAAACACAGCCCCCGGGATTTATCCAGCGGCGCATTAACCCCTGCCCCCGGCCTCGCCAATCATCCCGCTGCCTGCGGAG